CTATGTTAGTTGTTTCTCTCGCCAATGGACTACAGGACAGAAGCGCGACGCGAAATAAAATGAAAATTAATTGTTCAAGCAATCAATGGCAAAATACTATATTTCTGACTTCAGGGAGTGTAGGGAGGAATGACTTCGATACATGGGACTGACACGCATTCTAAAGCTAGCGTTTATGTGTAGAACGCGAGGTAGAAGACACAGACGCAGTTCGTTATAGAAATGAAATTTGTAGAAGTCAGACCAGGTCACGAAGCCATCCTTGGAGTAGAGGAAAAGAAAATGCTCATAAGGGTGTCAACTCTGTTATTTGTTAATACAAGCATAACTGCGTCATCGCAGGCCAGTACCCATAAAGCTAAAAAAGGATAGTTATTTTTTAATTGCTGAATTATTTGCAGAGCTAAAAAATAATCTCAGACGTAGCACCGCGTTAACCGCCGGGCCTGGCTGTGCCACCGCGCTGACATAGGACCCAGAACGGGCGGGTGGGTGACGCAACGGCGCAGAAGCGGAAGTGGGGGGGGGGCGAGGTGTTTCCGTAAATTTCACTTTAAGACGCTCATATTCGTCCGATTTGCATGATTGTCTCGGCGTTGGATTCAGGATGCATGTCGCCATCGCGGTATAAGCCACATTTTTAAATTTGTTCTCGGAAGTTTGAGAACTAATTTCAAATTCGCGTTTTTGCTAGATTTTTGGAAAGAGGTTATCGTAACGTAAATTCTATTTTAAAAAGGCGTCAAATGCCGTTTACAGATCTAAAATCGAACCATTGGTTCAGACGTTATCTGTAAAGTAAATTTTACTGATTTTGGTGCTGCCACGTGGTGGCTACAAATTGTACTAGTGTCGGGACATTTAGCCTGAAGTCCCGACGCAGTATTTCCAACACTAGTTAGATCGAGTTCCCTCACTGTCTGGAGGAGAATTCTAGCTGCCAACTGCTCTAATTGGTAGTTTTCCGTGGTTTCTCTGTTCAGGTGAATACAGGAACAGTTGCCTACCAAAAGGGCCACGGGCTTTGCGCGATCTTTCCTTCCCATTCCTTGTCTTACCGCACACTTACAAGCACTACACTACCACATATGCCGCGAGAACCATCGGGAGCTTACAGCTTGTCCCAGCTGGGACAGTGTCTGTTGGGAGATACCTGTTTAACGATAACCCCGCAAGCCGTAGGTAGGTCGGCGCCGGATCTCGCCATCCAGCGAGACAAGATCACCGCTACCTACAGAGCAAATCAAGAACTACACTTACGGGATTAACAATCATAGTTGTTGGCCGGAATCTATAGTAATCAATCAAAAAATTGGCATATCTGCCGTTTAGCGAGTATTTGTAATCATGTTACAATGACTTAATAGTAACATGATAACTATTAATAATAGTAACTATTATAATAACAATAATCGTATAAAAATAGTTGGTAGTACTGAACGTTTTTGTGCATACGCCGCTTCTAATCTTCTATTTTGCAACAGTCAATCTATGTATCACAATTACTTCCACACTATTCCGTTCCATAGCAGCAATGCAAACAAAATCACTTAAGTATTAAAATATACCGAAGCTCGCTCTAGTGAACAAACACATGTCTACAAAACTCAATAACTTTTCAATAAATGTAGAATGAAGAATTCATTTCATTCAAGCAATTTACTTCAAAGTGCGACGCCATAAGATAAAACTTATTTCGAATAAAGATATATGGCGTAAGATCATTCACTGTTTGAATCAGTAAAACGTATTATTACCTCTAAGACAAGAAAATTAGGGCGAAATATTTGAAATTGTACGAGTAGTAGCCATACATGAGTGTCCTTTTTACTCACATATCAGCATTATCAGCTAGGTTTCCTTTTCACTCACCTGAAACAAGTGAAAATGAGTCCCTGAGTACATATGTATTACAAATTATGATATAGAAATAGAAAATGATAAAATATATTAAAATATTTACGTTTTCCTTGCCCACAAGTATAAGTCTTTTAAACAATCAATCGAAACATTTTGTTCTTACGTCAATCCACAAAAATATGGTACAGAGGCGTAATTTCATATTTTACAATTTACTGTACTGCGGTTCTCTGTAAATGTATGCGAGCAAATATTAAGGCATCATAAATATTTACACAATTTGTAATTAGAAAAAATGCGATATCCAGAACGCAAAAAAGGAATGTCGCATGCAACATCTACTTATTTATTTTAAGTAAAAACAGACAGTTAAAATAGTACTGCTTAGAAATAGTACTGAGTAGAAGTGCTTCTTTGAGAACTTGGTCGGTTCAACAATTTTCAAGCAAAAAATACTTATGACAATTATTTCAAAACCAACAGTAGCTGTGTTCTAATGATCTCCGTTACCTCATCCAGATATGAAATTTGTTTTTATTCCGTCCTGAGAAAGTGCACATGCACGTAGTACTTTGGTATGCTTGTGAAGTTTTAGAGGTCGTGGATCATGTAAGACTCCATTCGCACCACTAGACCACGTTACCACATGCTTGTCTTCTCTCCATACAGTTTTACCACACCTCCCTCGAATCAGCAGAGTACGCCCCCTGCGATTAGGCTGAAATCCCACGCATTAAACCAGCAATAGAAATAAATTTCCCTCGAGGTCTCCCCATAAAGAATTTCTCATCCTAAAATGTAATTTTTAGAATTAATTTCATTGGATTAAGCTCATTTTAAGCCAACAATACAAATGTAAAGTGTGAATTGTACTTTGTAATACCTGAAAAGTTCATAATAAATAAAAAGCGTATGCTCTTGTAGAATAACGGAAACTTTGTAAGAACGGTGAACCTCCAAGAGAAGAACTAGGAGGAAGGTGTATTTTTTGTGACACGTATCCTTTTATATCATTCGAGGAAAGAAAGAAAAAGAAAGAAAGAAAGAAAAAGGAAAAAATAAAAGGAAAGGAATAAGAAAGAAATAAAGAAAGTAAGAAATACGAATCGTACTGGAGAGGGAGAGGGAGAGGGAGAGAGAGAGTGAGAGAATGAGAGAGAAAGAAAGAGAGAGAAAAAGACAGAGAGAGAAAAAGAGCGAGTGAGAAAAGATAAATTAATAAAATTATCAGAAAATTCCGATTGAAATTTAAGATTATCAATAAAGTTATAACTGGTATAAAATAATAGTGGTTTATGTAACTACTTTATTATGTTGACCTTTATTGCACGAATAAGCATATATTACTGAACGAACGACAATAGGAGTGACTTTGGTAATCCTTATGATTACAAAAAAAAAAGAAAATTATAAATAAGTTACATACGCTATTTTTTAAAACAGCAGTATAAATTTATAACAAAATAAAAATTAATTTTAGGATTAAGTACCAGAATCATTGTAGTAATTGGCATTCTGGTTTTGGGTATCATGACGACATGCATATTTGACACGTAGTGATCGATTCTTAAAGGAATGAGAAAGAAAGATGGATTTCTTGCCGAAAGAAATTGTAGAAGACGCGAAGGCAGAAAAAAATATAATACCTAACACGTACAGTGCATTGTACTTAGTGCACTGAGATATGATACAGAAAACTGAAATATTGGATGAAAACAAAGAATGTCAATATTATATGTCAATCAGTTGTTCTGGGATATACAGTATACCGGAGTTGGTAAGTTTCTCTTACTTCATTTGATATACCTAGTCGTGTTTTAGAGGTGTTCTAATTTTCTAATTTTTATAACGTAGAAATCAGCAGTATCCAAGGCATCAAGTTTATAACGCAAGCACTCCAAGTAAATTGTAATGCTAAAAATTAATGGCAGTGTAGATATTTATGCATATAATAAAGTTCAACTATATATGGAACAAGCTAATATCGGTTATAAAGCAGGAAACTCTGTGTCTTTTCTCAAGCTAATGTCAAACTTTTCCTACAACTGATTCTAATCGCTCTTGGTCTTTCAATTAGCTCACTAACTCTCCATTAATATTCACATGCAAAATTAATAATATAATCCTATAATTACATGATTCATTTGCATCTAAGAGTAAATAAGAACTTTTTATTTACACTGTTTTTTTGGTTACTCTGTAAAATGTTCATACAACTTCAGTCTTCTTTACTTTCAAAGGTGAGATGTAACACAACTATAACATGTGTGATGACGTAATCATTCGCGTCGTAAATCGCTCATAAATCACCTTTTGTGCCACTTTATGAACGATTTCTTGCAACAGAAAAGGTCGTTAAAAAAGCTGCTATACATAAAAAGACACTATATTTTTAAAGAAGAAATGCACCTGTTTCTGGAAAAGCGATGGCGACATATACAACAAGAGCCCAAAAAGAAACGTAAGCAACCTTGTGTCTTCAAACTGGGTCATTAATTTGTTCTACTGCAAGGTTTTATGACTTTGTTAAAAAACGTGATTATCTAACTGCCTTACTAAACGCTCGGAAGGCATCTGTCAGAGCGCACCCCGAGAAGGAAAGGATCTCGACAGCCGGCAGTGAATTCGAGCTCACGTCATTATCTTGCATCCGTAGATATTGGGTAGAATTCCCTATTTTAGCAATGGCGCTGTTCAATCAAGTTAAGTACAACGTGTCATCAATAACCCCAGCGAACACTTCCTGCCGAGTGGAAGTGCCACCCGTGAGCTTAGACGAGTCGATGTGGGGCCGATGAGATTCAGAACATTCAAGTATCTCTGGGGGAACTCACTGGAGATGTTGCAGTGGTTTGGACACCATCGAACGGGAACAAACAAGAAGCTGAACCTCCAAATATATCTGCTTGCAATACCTACATGATCGTGCCTGTCTGGTCTTAGGTATGTAATAACATTTGCAAATTTGTTATAAATATACATAAGTTTAATTGAATTCTACATTATTGAACTATTTGATGCAAATATATTAAAAGGCGCTGGCGGCGGGCGGGCGGGCGGGCGGGCGGGCGGCGGGCGGGCGGGCGGCGGCGTGCAGAGCGGCAAATTACCATTGTTACAATAACGTACAATTATTCCACATGTACCAAGAAGCTCGATTTCGCCCCGTCAGCGTCAGTGCGCAAGGCAGCGCGCGCGGCGGCGCGAGAGGCGATGATAAGGCGAGGCCACAGCCGAGGCAGTGCTCTCCCAGCAGCGCTCTTCCGCGCACGCGCCGCCCTCGACTCCAGCCAGCCAGCCACACAGGTGAGGCGCCCTCCGCACGCATTGCTGCGCTTCAATTGGTGCCAGTTTCATTCATTACAATGGCAGTTCTATATTAAGTCGCTTATGAATATTAACATTCTTAAAATCATTCTTCTTATATTTTCATTAAATTTCACACATATACACAATTCACCACGGTAATGAACAAAGAATGCATTCAAAACTAAGTACATCATCATAAAAGTAGGTCAGAATATCCTCGCACTGTTCCTCATTAGTTCTTTCATTTTATCATCATTTAATATACATACATACATATACATAATATGCATATACATACATACATTTTATCATACATTTAATTTAAACGTTATATGATTTTAAAATGCCTGTCCAGAATTGATCATACAATCACATATAATAAAAAGCGACCATATTCAAGAGGCAGTGTTTTGTTTGAACGGCGTCTCAATTCGCTGCCTGGAATGTTTATCAGATAATCAGGAGAAATCGCATACTTTTGGGAAAGTGAAGTGCATATTAATTTTACTCGTGAGTTAAACTTTAAGTAAAACATTTTCTCATAGAATATTCGCAGATATAAAGAAATTATTAAAACGTAGATCTCAAGGATTGCATTTCAACAGTTGTTGAGCAATTACTAAGTATTTATTGAGTTTACTTTTGCAAAAGAGTGCTAAGAACGTTACTATCCACGCGTCATACAGCCTTCTACACCTTCATAATGTATCCATGCGAATATCAATCGTTTACTAGGGCACAGCTTTCAACAAAATGTCAGATTGATTATGATTGGCTTTCGATCCTCCACAGTTTGTCTCTGCAAAATGTCCGAGTCCCGTTCAGCAATGTCAGGGGATCAAATGTTAAGTGTTCGGGGACGAGCTTTCGAAGCAAAGCAATAGTACTAAAATAGTGACTTGACGGTCCGGGGGACGCCGCGTCCTGGACAGAGTTGCCAACATTACCGTGATCATACTACGAAAGTACGATAGCAAGCTCATTTTGTAATTTCTTCCTTTCTTGTTCCCTGTGCATTTTAATTTTAAATTATTATCACGATCTTTAAAAGTATATTTTGTACTATATCCCGAACATTTCTACGTCAACGAATGCCAGTAATAACAATGAAAATATTAGTAATAGCAATTAAAATTAAAATAATAGTAATTATTGTATATATATATATATATATATATATATATATATATATATATATATATATTTATATAATTAAATGTAATACTATGTGTCAAACATTAAAAAACTGATCTTAACTCTATCTCATTAAGTAAGTTTTCATTTCGTCTTTCTTTTGTAGAGGATTTTATGTACATTGTTTTATACTGTCCAACAACGGTCAGCTAGTAGGGATGTTCACCACAATCTCTAATATCATGTGTCAAACATTGAAATAATTTGATAAAACTGTTCACAATGTCATTAATTGGTAACACTAGTCATTGCTAGTGGTTCAGTCTATGATAGTGAGAAAGCAATTTCTCCGATAGTGATAACTTAAGGTCCTTGAAGTTAAGTATTGTGTTTATAAAAACTTTTCAATAATCACATGAGATTTTCTGTTTTTAGAAAAAGGTATCAATGGTTGCTCAGTGATAAAACTCCATCTCTTACATAACACGATATTGAATCATTCCACATATCTAGATAGGATAATTCCTTAAGTTCACGCACTTGTATCATTATATTTAGAAGAGATCAACTCTTTACAGATCTCAATTTCTCGTTTTAGAATATAACAAATAATAATAACAATAATAATAATATAATGATAACAGTAACCTCAGAAGACGATCATCGTAATTAAAGTAAAATAGTACTATAATGTAGGGGATAGGTTAAGGAGAAGAAAATTCATTAGGCGCATGTCATTAATGGAATTAATATTCATTGTATTGAAGAAACTGAATATCAACAAATCATTTATTTTCTCATATCAATTTTTTTAAATTAAAAATTGTCAGCAAACTCTCAATTTACTTGCACGTAAAACTATATAAATTACAAACATAATAAAATCAAAAATGTCAGAGTCTCGAAACTTATTTAAATATCAGGAGGTAAGACCAGTAATACGTCTTCTGTTAAAAGGAAATACATCGTATCCTCACTTTCCAGGTTTGCTGGCCTTACATGTCTTATTTTGGACTACCACAACTTAAAGAAACATGAAATAATTTGAAAAATAAGAAGTTCGCAATATCATTAACTTATGCTCATGTATTTCATTGAATATATGAATTGTATACCCAGAATGATTGTAAATTTTATAATTTTTTTAAATATAAAAAGCGAACTGAAGCTTCAATAAGTTGTATGATAAAGTATTCTTAATGTTTTGGGCGAAATCTACTTTGCTTTTACAAAGAAAGGTTGACGTGTTCACAAAAGAAGAATAGCGATTATGAAGTTAGATTAGAAGGTTAAAACTAGAAAAATATAGGACTAAAACATGTGTTCATTCTATGCCAAACACTAATTGACATTGGTGCGAATTCGCAAAACAGACAGCGTACAATACTAGAAAAATCCGCACTAAGTCTTTAAGCAAAGATCTAATCTTCCAAACTCCCCATTACATTATTATATCCCGTAAATTCGGTTTCCATTTCGGATTTTCGCACTACTATAATTTCATTTCGCATGCGTCGTGTGAATTACGTTATCGCACGCGAGTCATATGCTGCATAAATCGTGTGCTGGCCAGATGACACCTCAGGGTTGTAAGAAGGTAACACGCGTGTTTTCTTGTCGATGAATCAATCCCCACCCGACTGAGATAAATAACCGTCGTATTCTCATGATGTGATGATTTATCTCGGAATTTTAAAATATCTCGAATAATCAGTGAAACTACGCCATTCTACGCAATGATTCACTACATATTCTCGAGAAATAAAGTACAAAATTACAAAACTTTTATGATTCTGCATCATTCGCGAGACTTCTCGGATATTGTGACGGCAGCAAAGTTCGTTTGTCAATCATACTTCAGATTAAATTTCATAATCGTCTAAGGCATGAAGAAGCGTCGAAAATTATTACCTTTTGCTAATGAAAACATGGTTGGACATTTCATATTACTGATATGATGACACACTTATGATATTTATCTCCTGAATATTAGAATCTTCTTGCATGCAGAGGGATTCAGCTGGTTCATAAATTCTAAAATTGAATGCGCATGGACGTGACCCGCATTGCACCTACGTCTAAGGTGTTGCCTATCAAACTCGGGCAATTGTTACGTGTGACTCTTAGCTACGAGTTTTCTCACTAGCTGTTAAATTAGTCTACGAAAAATAACTGAAGTGGTGAGTGGGAAAACCGTACAACTCCAAAATTGACATTTTTTTTTAAAAAATGGAGATAGCCAAAATCACTATTAAACGTGGCTCTTCCTCATGATATAACGCACAGCCCAACCAATACAATGTGTTCGCATTTAGGAGGCTCCCTATTACTATATTGAGTGAAAGAACGATATAACTCCTTGAGTTATATCGCTCTTCCACCCAATACCTAATGTTCTCCTTGCCGTTTGAATTCGAGACACCCATATGCAATCGACTCTCTGGACCTGCAATGTGAACATTGGTGGGAGGTATCATGGTTGTTTGTTAAGTAGTAAGAAGCAACGGTAGTTACGTATCTAATTACTACAGGTAAATTTCTACATAATGCTCATATTCGTGTTTGCGGACCATGTGACAGAGCCTTCGGAAACGTCAAACGAGTCTGTGATCAAATTTATTTACCAGAAGACTCTGGGCACATGATTGTAAAAAGTTGCCAATTAAAACCATTTATAATATCAGTAATGAAATATACAGATAAAACAGACTTCAAGAGCTGGTGACCAAATTAAAATAAAAGACTTGCCAATCAACTGTTCAAGGAAATAGTGAAACCTTAGATTCAAACTATAATCAGTTAATGTATGACAGTTCTACACCAGGTTACTTTTCGGTAAATAATTTTATCCAAGGACTAGCTACAAACACTTTTAAACGGTTCAAGTATCACGTCAGTGCATCGAACCGTAATACAGAAATCATTACTAATCAATGTGAAGGAGATCAATGACACAAAAAACGCAAAAAGTATAGGAGTGGCGAAATCTTGGAGTTTTACTATTATACTCCGAGAGAAGCAATGATAAGGAGGAATCATAATGAAATCATTACAGTTCTAAGATATAATTTTGTGTCAAAATTAATTAATAAAGTCATTTTCAATAAAATTAGCCAACAACTCAAAATTACAAATATTGAACGGAAAAACAGAATAACTTCAAAATCTATTTTGGCTGTACAGCTTCTCAGGATTCACGTTATTAAACTTCTTGTAGAGAGTCATTCTTTACAAATTTTCTGATATATTTGAATGTTGTAAAATGTACACAATTTATTTAAAATACATTTTTGTGTTTTCCTCAAAACAAAAAATTTGGAGTTGTACTGTTTTTCCACTCATCGGTTCAACATCTCTAACCCTCTCAATCTACCAATAGAGTGTAATATTTCATCTGAAACACACTGAAATACCACAATAATACTTTACGCAAAATATACTCATGAACTTCCGAGGTCTGCGATTCGAAGCGCTCTATTCAACTTATTTCTTTCATTTTATTTTAAAAAAATAATTTTAATTAAGTAAAGATCGGACCCAGCACGAGAAAACGTGCAGGCCACGGGCAGACATTGTCCCTGTGGGCGATTAGAGAGACATCAAAAGCGCGCACTCCGCCTCGAGTGTCCTTCAACACTCAGGTGAACTTTGGATTCCGCTCGTCGGAAGCAAGTCATCGAAAACAAACTGCGCGTGCCTCGCGAACAGCGAGATTCATCAGAAACGCAGTAGCACCTAACAACACAACCTCCTTCACCGTGATGCTGTTACCACGTGCGATTAGCGCTGAGTGCAGGAAGACAATGACATTTCATTGAGATAAATCCACTCCAAGGTCGTACGATAGCGCCGTGCCCAAACACTAACGTTAAAATTGTTTCCCACCTTCATTATACGAACAGAGCATCCAGATTTCGCCTGAGTTCCCCTTGACATTTCCTCTTAGAGTATGTAAACAAAAAGGGTATTAGTTTTGACGTATACGAAGAGGAATTTATAAAAATAATACATCACATTACATAATGCAATTCAAAATGTGCTTAAAATCCATTCGACCTCAAAGCTGAAAAACAATGAAGTAAAAAATTACTTAAAATGAAAATATAATTATTCTGCAATATATGTATTTTGGCGCTTTGATTCCCAAGACTTCAGAAGGCGATAAGGAATCGAAATGCAGAGAGGACCCTTCATTTCATTTTGTTCAGGTAGCTCCACATCTCTCCAAACGGCAGTCCCAAGGAGAATTGCACATTCACTAATGATAATGATGATAATAATAATAAGAGGAGGAGGAGAAAAACATTCTTGAAAACAGCTCCAAATTTTTCAATGAAAATTGCCATTTCTAACAAGGTCCTACTGTCATTTAATATTCTTCAAATAATATTTCCGCAAATATTGCTATGTAGGAAACCAAAACATTAAGAAAAAAATTAAAATATGTACTTTTGAGGGCGATAGATGGCAACTGGTAAGAGTATGTGGCAAGTCCGATTAGCTAGCGGAGATTAAAGAAATTAGAAAAGTAATGTGGGAAAGTCTGTGTCATTCTAGCACTTCTAGCTAATTGACTATATCAAAGGCTCACTTTTTTCTATAATGCGATGATAAACAAGTTTCTCCCCTGTGATTGGGTGTTTAATGTGATCTCTAAAAAACAAAATCAAATACAGTGATATTGAAATGGCACTAACTTATTGAGTTCTTAAATACTAGTTTTATTATTATTTTCTGCGACCAGTCTCTTATTAATAATTTTTGCAGATTCTTCAAATTCCTGACTTCCTCTACTTCTTCATACATTCAAAACATTTTAGTGTCATCTATATACCCCGTCAGTTACTCCCGTTTGCACTGTTGGAACACTTTTCTCCTTCCTTTTTTTGGTTGGTCAGTGCAGTCATTTCCTTTTGTTTTGGAAGATAATTTCATGATATTTACGATGTACTAGCCAGATGGAATTTTGCTTGTATAAAATTCGCATTATGCGTTAATGAAGTGTTCAGGAGCGATAAAATTGCAATATACAAGCGGGAAAAGGTTTTCCAGTGGTACGTTTTATCAGTACCTTCCATTTGCCGTAAATGATACAAAATCTGAAATGAATTTCTAACTCCAAAATAAGAGTGCTATTGAAATTCACTGTCGGAAGGCGAAGTATTTCACCCGAAAAGACAGCGATGGAGATTTCTCTACAACCAATCGTCTAATGTTTTTTTAATGTATTTGAATGAAAACCTATAACTTTGGTTCACTGAAACCCTATATTTATTATATCCAAGATCACCATATCCAAAGTCGACTGTTCAAATTAGCAATATGTAATGTAGTACATACAGAATATATAATATGTATAAAGTACTTATATTGTAGATCGGTGAGGTCTTAATAAATGAAAAATTAAGTAATTCTGACGCTAATTTACATTTCTGATATAATAATTTAACAACAAACACTTCACTTGTTCATATCAAAACAGCTAAAGATTATAACTCATTCTCTGTATCCTGTATGGCACTTTTATCGGTTAATATATTGGGGGTATTGCTCTAATGGATCACTCCACCTGCAATGGATGCGATCAACATATCACACACTTTATAATAGAACAGGTCGAGTTTGTAGCAAGAAGAGGAGTCGCAAATTTGAATGATAAATGATTTCAACTCCCAGGTTAATTTTAGAATTCAATTATCACTTTGGCCTGGAAATCATGTTTATTTAACTATTACGAAACGACATACGAATTAAATGTTGGTAGATGAAGTGAGGGTAAGAGGTAAATTACGCATTTTTAAATTACTATGTCAAAAGCACTTCGGTACGGGTGTACATTACTTTGTAGTTCGAATAAATGGAAGAACATAACCCTGGTATCATTTACAATATGTCATTCGGCAGCCTGTTGAATCATGATCCATCATTTGTTATTCAGTGCCTTTACTTCTTGTTTCATTTCCTTTGCAGTTAGTGTCCTGCAAAAAGGTACTTTGGTGTTTGATTACTCCGAAGTTACATTTTCCAATCAATAAACAGTTAAGTGAAGTACTAGTTTTCCAGAATGAGAGCTATAAACTAAATTTGGAAACGAAATGATATTAGTTTTTATTCTCGCATGACAATAATGGAGTACCTATTTTGAATAAAAATGATCAGATCATTCATAAGATATACTTCGCCCAAATTTTAGGTGTTATTTACGTGTGAGTCGTATCCCTTCTTCAACATTATCAGATCTTTTCTATCCCACCGCACCTTCCAAATCAAATATCAAAACGCAGACCCCGCGCCCACCACCACGAAGTCCGTAGCGTTCCAGGAGGGCTCCGGCGGCGTCGGCAGGGTAGTTCAGCCCGAGTCCCCCCAGGCGGCTTTGGGATGGCGTAGGGTTGGCAACACGCGCGCCGAACAGCATGGCGCTGAACGCCTGCCACCCAGGCGCCCCCGCCCCCGCGCCGCGCAGCTGCCCGCCCCGCGCCGCCCCATGGGAAGCCGACCGCCCGCGCCCGCGGCGTGCACGCTGCCTCCCATGGCGCTACTGCAAGAGAACGGCCAATTGTAACGAACAGATGCAGGCATGAGTTTTCTACCTTACTTGGAATGCCCGCCGCGCCAGTGCACCCTGCTCCATGGCGCTACCTGCAAGAGAACGCCATTGTACGACAGATGCAAGGGCATGAGTTTCTACCTATTGGACTGCCCGCCCGCGCCGCGCGCCGGTGGCACGTTGCGCTCCACTGGCGACATGCAAGGAACGGCCTATTGTACGAACAGATGCATGGGCATGAGTTTCTACCCTATTGGGGAAATGCCCGCCCGCGGCCGTGCACGCTGCCTCCATGGCGCGTACCTGCAAGAGAACGACATTGTAACGAACAGATGCAGGGCATGAGTGTTTCTACGCTATTGAATGCCGCGCCCGCGTAGCAGTGCACCCTGCCTCCATGGGCGCTTACCCTGCACAGAGAACGGGCCATTGTTTACGAACAGATGCAGGGCAATGAGTTTCCTACGCTATTGGAAATAGCCGCCCGCGCCCGTGCACGCTGCCTCCATGGGCTAGCCTGCAAGAGAAACGGGCCACTTGTACGAACAGATGACAGGGCATGCGAGTTTCTACCCTTGGAATGCCGCCGCCGCGCCCGCGTCCCGTGCACGTTGGCCTCCATGGCGCTACTGCAATGAGAACGGCCATTGTACGAACAGATGCAGGGCATGAGTTTCTTCCCGGCGCCCACCCCCGTAAGAAAAATTTTTTAATAAGTTGGACAGTACAATCAATGAATCAATTAATATTTTTTTACATAACCGGCCCGCGCCCGTGCACCTTGCCTCCATGGCGCTACCTTGCAAGAGAGAACGGACTCATGTACGAAAGATGCAGGGGCATGAGTTTCTACCCCTTATTGGAATGCCCGCCCGCCGCCAGTGCCCCCTGCCTCCATGGCGCTACCTGGCAAGAGAACGGCCATTGTAACGAACAGATGCAGGGCATGAGTTTCTACCCTATGTGGAATGCCCGCCCGCGCCGTGCACGCGTGCCTCCATGCGCGCTACTGGCAAGAGAACGGCCATTGTACGAACAGAACTTGCAGGGCATGAGTTTCTACCCTATTGGAATGCCGCCCGCGCGCGGGCCCGTGCACGTTGCCCTCCATGGCGCTACCTGCAAGAGAACGGGCCATTGTACGAACGAGCAGGCATGAGTTTCTACCCTATTGGAATGCCCGCCCCGCGCCCGGTGCACGCTGCTACTCCCATGGCGCTACCTGCAAGAGAACGACCATTGTACGAACAGATGCAGGGCATGAGTTTCTACCCATTGGAATGCCCCGCCCGCGCCAGTGCAACCCTGCCTCCAGGCGCTACTGCAAGAGACGGCCATTGTACGAACAAAGATTGCCCAGGGGCATGAGTTTCTACCCTATTGGAATTGGCCCGCCCGCGCCCGTGCACGCTGCCTGCCAGGCGCTACTTGCAAGAGAACGGCCATTGTACGAACAGATGCAGGGCATGAGGTTTCTACCCTATTGAATGCCCGCCCACGGCCGGCGCCCGTGCACGTTGCCTCCATGGCGCTACCTGCCAAGAGAACTGGCCATTGTACGAACAGATGCCAGGGCATGAGTTCTACCCTATTTGGAATGCCCGCCCGCCGCCCGTGCACGCTGCCTCATGGCGCTACCGTGAAAGAGAACGACATTGTACGAACAGATGCAGGCATGTGGTTTCTACCTATGGAATGCCCCGCCCGCGCGCCCGTGCACGCTGCCTCCCCCATGGGGGCGCTACCTGGCAACAGAACAGATGGATATGTCCGCCTTCCCGCCCCCCAATCTTCTTAGTCATTACCAGCTCCCGACGTGCATTACCGTGGTCACCTGTCGCTCGTGAACCTTACTAGTCTAGCTGATTTCGTCACAGACGCTCCTCTCATATGTTGTTTTTTAACAGATGCGTTTTGTCAACATAGGCTTTGTGTCACATCTGTTTTGCTCACTAGCAACGCAGCAAACTAATTTGCTCTCTTTAGAAGACTGAGCGATCGCAGTTTACCGATCTCTTCGGTTCGCGCGTCTCAGACCACAAGTCTATAGTCTCTGAATAATAACTTCATACGGTAACACGTCAACTGTGC